CAGCCTAATGATATTCAAAGGTTTAGCATCTTTTTTAACCAAATTTCATCTATCTTTTCATTCCCTCCCCTAAAATCTTGGTTTATGATAATGTCATACAAACTGTTTTTTATGTGAAAAATGCCTTACCCTCTCGATGTAACTCCACCAAAAGATCTGTGATTCCATGACTGCCATCTACGAGTCACTTGCTTCAGTTTCTTGTAAAGCTCTYCAATCAAGTTTTCCTTTTCCATCAGCTCTGACATCCTTCGCAGCTCTGACTCAAAGGCAGAGCACTGTTCTGCTAACCACACCTCTCTTGCAGTCTGTGACATGGCCTCCATGTCTTCATACTTTAGAAGAAAAATTTATTTTGTCAGATTAGTCATTATATACCTTTCATTACAAAATGTTTTAATTATTTGTGGGGGGGAGCACACTCCCCTATATGAGCTGATATCTACTGCATTATTGGTGTAATAGTTTGTAAGAAAAGGGTGTACCCTCTCCTAAAACGAAAATCCCTGATGGTACCCCCCTCCCCCTTAGAAAAAAATCGKGAACCGCCCCTATAAATAATTTTCCTAATAAATAATTTCTGATTTTTTTACAAAAGAAACGTTAAAACAGTGACATGCTGGTCATGCGAAGTTTTAACCTTTCTTTTAATCCAATAAATGTTGTTTCAACGAAACTATATATTTCACTTATTTGAGATTTTGCCCGCAGGCTGGTACTGCTTGTTTACTTACATAGTATTCTTTCATCGGGCCTCGGTTTTCATTCATTTTGGCCTCAAAATTTTGTTGCCCTATAAAGAAAACACCTGTTAATTTGCGGTCACCACTTGAACAAAGTTTGTACATCTCAAAACGTTACTTTTATACAAATAGTACAGCCCTCAGTTTAGGGAACGCGACGATTGTGCTAATGAATGATGCTCATTAACACGTGGGTTAGGTCTGTTAGTTTTGTACTAAAGCTTTCTTTCATTATTTGCTTTCCCACCTGTTGCAAAGAAGCTCCTTTGTTTTTCATGTTCATAATTCGATATAAAACGATCTTAAAGTTTTTCGAGAAAGACAAGTTAAGATTTTCCAGCGTTTTTGATATTTATTTGCTTTGAAAAGGTTCTTTCTCTCTTTTTTTCTCGTCATACTCTGGAGTCTTTTTCTATGTTATTTTCCGTGTTCAGAGTTCAACATCTAAACGCTTATTGTCAAATCAGTCAACGTTGAGTAAATGCTTATGCCTCGGGGCTGGAATATAATATACTGTAGCCCTATTTAATACGCCTTTTTATCAAACCGTTAGGATAAAACATAGTATAGGAAAAACGTCCATTTTTGTAACATGCTCCGTGTGCGTGTGAATTAGGCTCATTGAACAAGCGTGTTTACAGACCAAAACATCTTCAAAACTTATTCATCAACGATGGGTTGAAAAAGTAAACGCAATGCGACTCACCAGGAACTAAAAAAGGTGCAGTCATTATATTCCCAAAGCTTGGTTCGAGTCTCCTCTAAAAACTTTGGGAAAAGCCAACAAATTGCATCCAAAGTCGACTGGAAGTACGAGAAGTATATAAGTTACGAACCCGTTAATCTCCTTAGTCAACAGTCTGTAAATTAACCATTGCATGTGATGACAGCTTAATGAGCCGATCGATTATTTGAACGAGTGGGTGTATATAAAGATAGACAATCCTTAATGTAGCGATAGAATTCGCCAGATTTTGACAGTTCGAAACATGGCAATAGTTTGTTAATTATTGTTCTTCAGTCAACTGTTTGTATTCTTGACAAGATGGTCTATAGACTCTAGATGAGGTATGTACTTGAACCAAGGTTGACAGAGCGATCTAATATTTTAATAATCACTGCTGCGATCGTGCGGCAATTATTTCTTAATTTCCACAATGATGGTTTTGCTTTCTGCCCTCCATCACGCACACAAACAAACAAATTCAATAAAATATAAATTCTGTTCAAATATTTYTTATGACAAATTATTTACCTTTGGATAATGTTAAATTAATGCTTGTTATCTTTTTGGCTAGGAAAGGAAAGGAACCCCATATGAAGAGAATAAATGCGGCCGTGTTTATACGCGATCCCGCGCGCTGRACGTACGTGTAGCGGGCCGTGAAAGGCCGTGAATGATAACTAACGAACCRTAGTAAGATACATTAACACCAATATTTTGCACGCAATGGAAAAAATGAGTAAATCCCTCTAGTTTTCTATTATTATTATTTTTCATTATTCTATTTCTTTATGTTAGTTGTATTTTTTCTTGGAAATGGTATGTTGAACTCTTCGCGTCGTCTCGAGTTTCAGCTTCCCAATTCTAATTTCCATTTTTACCGGAAACTATCGCTGACTTTTCACTTGGAGAAACCATAGCTTAATCGAACTTATCGAATATTTTGAATGTAGAAAACAAGAAATAGTTTCTTTCTAGATTATTCGATTTTTAAGATCAATAGACACAAACTATCCTCGGGGCTTGTAATAAAGCGATATTACGTTGAGGCAGTTGTAACGAGAATACTAGACGGTATGGGCCGGTAACGCTTGTCCCTTTGTCACTGCTAGTTTTTATCCCAATTCATTCATAAAAAAACAAAGCTTTTATCGAAAATACCCTTAATTTCTATACCAAAATTGAAGAATTTTCTTACCTTAAGTCCCTTGACGACAAGAGATCAATCGTTCAGCGTTCTTGTTTTGGTTTTTGTCTAGCTGATTCAAATGCCAGCTGATTGTGCTATTAGTATTCACTCCACGTCACAAGATTCAACAGGTGGTTCGTCCCGTCCACGTGGTTTCGAGTTGCTTTTTCCTTTGTCTTTCAAGCCTTACTATAAATCATGCTCCAATGACAACATGAGTTGGCGCTAATTCTCTCCCAAGAAGCGGAATAGCATTTCCGGGCTCTTAAATCTCGCTGTATAAATTTACGCCTTGTTTTGGTTTTAAAACGAAGGGCGCGCCTTCAGTATATCCACTTCTGCTGTCGACATTATTTAATTCTTTRGGATATTTTCTATTAAAAAGGATTCATATATTCTTGTTTTTAAGCTTTATTATCGTTTCTGTGTTTAATAACAGAATGAAACACTTGACTTTGATCGAATTTGCGGACAGGTTTTGGATAATGTGGGATTTTAAATGTCAAAAAATAAGACRCATCTTGCCTCCTTGGTTCTGGAATTTGCTCCTGACATACGATAAATCATGACATATTGAATTACTTTYATAAATTTATTTTTTGATTAATTTAGTGAAAAAAACTATAGATGGAAAAACGCCGCCAAAAACCAATGGAAAGCAACGTAATTACCTGTAAAACTGTAGAAATGTTCGTGATTTTTCTGTTTCTTGAAAATAAGATGTGTTGTTTGAGGCTACTAATTTTCCTCGTTTTTTTTTTTTCATTTTTCTCCTTTTTTTCTTTGGTTTTATTTTGTCTATCTTACAAGGGGAAGCAAAGATAGAAAAAGGTTTTTTATTGGTGCGCATTGTAACCAATCACCAACTTCGTTATATCGGACAACTTCTAGTCCTTGTTGCTATGCGACGTAAGATGTAGTACAACCAAAAACCAAGATGGCGGCGACCTTATGAACGACATGTGAAACGGTTTTTTTATTTTTATAGCAAATTCAACTATGTTTTTTGATATATAAAGCAATAAATACAAACRAAAATGGAGGGAACTGTTGCTGGAGTACGAATTGTTCCTCCAGTGGTAGAATTCTTYGATGCAGAGACTGAAGTACTTCATCAAATGACGCTAACTGTACAAAATTTGAGCAAAGCGTCAAGAAATATTCGCTTTCATGGACCAGCTACCAGCGTGAGTACTAGAAAAACAATGTACAGCTCATAAATTATGTGTATTGTGTCTATAATTCTTGACTTTAGCAAGGATATTGTGTGATATTTGCGTTAAAATAATTCTGCATCGACTGCTATATTAATTTTGTACGAAATCTTTAATGCGACAGTCCCAATAAGCGTTCATTATTTCWCAACTATAAGCTTTTAAAAGTACGATACTTTATTTTTCCAGCAGAAATTTAAAATCAGAGCAAAGAATCCAGACAATGCAATTGCTCCGGGTCTAGAAGTATCAGCGATAGTTGAGTATTATACGACTGAAAATGAAGATTCTCAAGACAGGGTTATACTCACTGTAGACAATGATGTGATAGAAGTTCCTCTTGTAGCGTAAGTATATTGTATGGTATTGCCTAGGCCTTTGTTTTATGCACCTATCAATGTTAAGTCCCAGGGTTTGGGAGGGAGAGGGGGGTGGGGGGTGAGGGGGGAACCCCAGGGTAATTTGACATTTTGAAATTTTCAAATTGCCCACCCCCAGACAACTGACAAAATTCAAACTTCCATCCTTAGCACACAGGGATAACTCCATGGAAAGTGTGTGCGCACAGTTTTTATTGACAAGTTGCAAAGTATCATAAAACGAACCAGTGAGCCATAAAAACATGTTTATTGTATTTTCTAGCTTTTTCAAGATGGTGGCCATGTCAAATTCCCTACTATGGCAACATTGAATAATGTCAAGTTCCCAAGGGTAGTCTGCTGCTGACCCACCCTGAGGCTTAACATCTATAGGTGCATTACACCTCTATGGGTTCTTATGGGATCAGCTAAAATCTTACCATTAGCTARTAGAAATGGATGATGTCACAGGCCCTCTAACTCTACCCTTGGRGGTACCTACAGTGTATGCATTATAAAGTGTAGAAATCTGCATTTTGCAAGTAAAGGTAGCATATTATATTGTTTTCATACTTTTAGTTATGCCCCATGCTCTCAACTGGAACTTAGTGGACCAGCAAATTTTGGTGTTATTGTGGCTGACAGCAGAGTCCTGTCACGTCAAATAGCTATCTTCAATGAAGGYAGTACAGCTGGGGAATTCAAAATCAAATATACTGGAAACAAACCTATTACTATCATGCCGACATCTGGTGTTGTCCAACCAGGACACAGTCAAATGATCAAGGTATTGAAGGATATTTGTAAATAATTGTTGGCGTGGCATGGTAATAGTAAACCTTTGTTAATGAGAAGTGATGATGATGATGATGATGATGATGAGTATGATGGTGGTGGTTGTGGTGGTGATAGTGAGGAAGATGATGATGGTCGTGATAGTGATGATTGTGCATGTTGATAGTGGTGATGGTGCATGGTGATGGTGGTGATAATGATGATGATCATGGTGATGGTGGTAAGGTGATTGTGATGATGATGGTAGTGATAGTGATGTTGATTATGGTGATGATGGTAACATTGATAATGATAGTGGTGGTGGTAGTGATGATGATAATAATGAATGCATTGTGAAGCATGACAGTGATGATAGAATTTGGATCAGCTAGCTGCTTCTGTTTATTAGTAGTGGTCATGCTGCCACAATTAGGTTAGCATTATAATATTATGGTATGTATGATAAATGATGATGAAAATGATACATTAAATTACAGATTGAATTTATTGCCAAGACTCCAGGACCGTTCCATGAACTTGCCCAGTAAGTCAATCTCTTTATACCCTTCACAGAGCAAATAAATAGATTACCTTAAATACTATTGAAATCCTAAGAAACATTTAAGGGTACACTATGCAAGCTACAGCAGTACAGTTAAAGTCAGTCCTCTTTTACTCACCAGAGTCAAAATTGAAGGCCAGCCCTCTGCATCCCTAGAGATCTATGGTCAAGTAGTTGAAAGATCACTGGAACTACTAACCCTAGATGGCTCACAGCRAGTAGACTGTATCAACTTCGGCGGTGCTTATTATGGAACAGATACTGTCAAGTCTTTTATGATTTATAATGGTAGCCCTGATGTGGCCAACTTTGTAGTAATTCTTGAAGAAGGTGGAGAAGGACAAGAAGTGGTGAGTGCTTTGACATAATGAAGGTTAAATATAAAACTTATAAGTCCTTGCCACCCTCCCCATCCCTCCCCCTGATCCCATCTTTCYACTGCATAGGGACAGACCTTACCACACTAGTGTATAGTTAAGGTAATTTTGAGAATTCAGTTGAATAGATCCCATTTTTTGACATGTAGTTGATTTGACAAAGACCACAACTAGTGCATAGTTAAAGCTGTAATTTTGAGAATTCAGTTGATGAATTGATCCCATTTTTTGACAGGGAGTTGATTTGACAAAGACAACATCAGCTGTACTGGCTACCCAGGCACTCCAAGAAGAACTAGGAACAACCAATGACCTGACRAGCCTTGTCACAGCGCTTCCCAGTCAAGGGGTGCTGGGACCCGGGGAGAGAAGTGTTATTCACTTCTGCTTTAGTCCAAGGTTCACTCGTTCAAACAAGGGCTGGAAAATGTTGGATCAGCCTCCTCCAAGAAGAGACTTTGCTTTGTTCATGCATATAGAGACTGTCGGCAGTGTCAATACTGYGGCTGTGAAGAATGGTCATGGGAGAAATGGAACTGGAGGTTAGTTATTTTCTGGAAAGTTTATGTTGGAATAAGGTTTTCAAATTACTCGAAAATAATATGCCAAACTCCTATCCTTATCAGCTGAGCGGTGAATTTTTTTTTAGCCAATCACAGCCCATTTAGCTGTTTTGCTGCTGGCCCTTATCCCCAGGCTAGTGTAACCCAACGTTTCTGTATTTTTCTGTTTTCTTTTGACTAAAATCTAATATATGTGCCTACGAGAAGCAGAAATATGGAAAGGAAGAATAAAAACAATTTCACTTTACCTGCTTCGTTCTTTTAAGCTTACCAGGGCTGGTCATTTTCTCCCATCATACTTTGCGTGTCACGTTCACCGTTCAGCTGGTACCATCAATAAAAAAAACACTATCAATAAAAGAGATAAAAAGGACAACAATAAAGAGAATTTAGACTGAATCAAAGATTTTAATAGTGCTTTTGATAGTGCTCACTATCCATGCTTTCCTTATTTATTTGTTCTTTCAATTTTTATTTTTTAGGGCCCAGAATTGAAGTAGGTGTTGTTGGCACAGCATTGCCAGTTCTYCTGTCTGTTTCACCCAGGCCTGTCTTTAACTTTGGTCAATGTACAGTTGAYGAACAGATAGATGCTCTATGCATTCTCAACAATGACTCTGAGGACCTCCCAGTGTCATTCTCCATTCACAAGATAGCTCACTTYCATACTCAGCCAAAACAAGGTAGCATCAAGGCAGGGAAGTCAGCAGATTTTGTGCTTTCYTTTCAACCTAACCAGATTGGCCAGTTCAAGACAATCTTACCTGTCGATGTGCTTGGGAGTGTTGTTGAGAACTTTTCAATGGAGGCCAAAGATCCAACAGCAATGAGGTCAGTGTGAAGGTTTTTTTCTGGAAAACTGAACACTGTCTTCTCTAGGTTGTTCATTTTCCATTATTATGTAGCTAGATAATCTATCTGAATGCATGCTCTAATTGGTTGAGAACTGTGCTGTGTTAGAGAAGGATGCATGGTTGCTGGTGCCAAAAAGTAACCATGCTTGCAAATTTTGCAAATAAGTGTAAGAAAACAGCATTGAAATCTTCTACACAACGGATTCTTCTTTCCATGAATTAATTTTCCTTTTTTTTGTGCTTCATTCAGTATTACAGTATTAGCAATATTGCCAAAAGAACTCAAAAAGTTTCACACTTCTTCGATGCTTATGTCACTTCCTGCTTGCTGTTTTGCAGAATGGAGCAGGGRAAAACCTGTTTGATTTGGCATGTTAATTTAATGTCGAGGGTCCAGTTTATATTAAATTCATGCAAAGAATTGATATCCTGGATGTCATAATGTCCTCAACCAGGATTAGGGTGGGGTTYGTTAAAATTGAAAGTAATGAGGCTTAATCGCTGATGTGCAGGCATGCTTGTTGCTGAAAGTGCAAAATGTTTATTGGATGAAAAAAATATTAATCCATTATTAGTTTAAAAAAATATTAATCCTCATTAGAAATATATTGTTTTTTTGGTCTTATTAGGGCTATAACAATTCATACTGTAAATATCCAACTCCATGGATCAGGAGCACTGAGTGCCAATATTAAGCAAAATTTGCAAACCAATAAAGATAATTGCATAGCACAGCCTGATGACAGGGCTACCAGTATTAGACCTGCCAACAAAAAAGAGAAAATCAAGTATGTGTAACTGAACTTTTTGTAATGTATGAAAAGAAAAGCCATATTATAGGTGGATGGATTTTTTGATGAACAAGTAAATGGATCATGCTAGATGGTTGAATGAGCATTAAATTTGATTGGATGGTTGCATGAATCTATTAAGATTGKAAGGTAATGGATGGTAGTGGATGGTAAAGTCAATATAGGGGGATGAATTTTTGGATGAATAAATTAATGGATGGCTAGATGGTTGAATGAACATTTGAATGGACAGTTAGATAAATATAATATGAATAGATGGTAATTAATGAATAGTTGAGTGGGTGGGTGATAATGRATGGATCGAAGGAAGGAAAGTAGGTGGGCATTTAATGGATGCATGCTACTTTGTATAATAATTGATGAACAAATAGGAAAATGTGTAAATAAATCTGAATGAATGAATGGAAAATTGGGTAAAGTGATAGGTGGTTAAACCATGGATGGATGAATACATGAATCGTGGATGGATGGAAGGATGGATGAATGGATGAATGGATGAATGGATGAATGGATGGATGGATGGATGGATGGATGGATGGATGGATGGATGGATGGATGGATGGATGGATGAATAGATGAATCATGGATGAATAAATGGATGGATAGATGGAAAAATGGATAGATGAGCAAATGAATGGATCCAGGATGAATAGAAAAGAGATAGATGGATGGACAGATTAGCAAATGGATGGATTAATGGATAGAAAGGCAAATGTATAGATAAATGGATATGGAAATGAATGGTTAAATGGTTAAATGGATGGATAACTAGACAAGTGTTCTAACATATCACAATCTTTGTTCCAGAACACTGTTTACTGGCACTGAGAGGTATACCTACACAGATCCAGACTACGCATACACAGATGAAGAAGAACGACAAAGAGAAGAACACAAACAGCAATATCTGGACTACATTGATGACTTGAGAACCAAAAGAAAGGTTGACCAGAAAAAAAGGTATATTGAATAAAGCTGTAAAATCTTTGGAAAACCAAGATGAATGCGACCAAAATTTGTTGAATGCATATTTGAGATATAAAGCCATGTACTTTGGGAAAGGTGATATTTTGATCAGCAGAAAAACTGACATTTTCATGAATACTACTAATAAGTAGATTTGCTCTAATTTGACAAGATTTCGTCACAAGTTTCGAGCAGCAGTGACACAAATGAAACGCTTAAAAATTTGGAGTATTAAACTCAGTTAAATAAAAAAAATGTGAAAGCAGTGGGCTTGTCATTTTTCTGCCCTGTCGTTTCACTGTCTTATGGGTGGCATAAAAGTGACTGATGAGAGGGAAGTCATTGATACATGTAGCCTATGCTCCTATGGGGGCCAGGGGCTTAAGCAAGTATGAATGATATACTAGTTTAATATTCTCAGAGCCATAGCCACTACGAGGCACGCAAGGCAGTTGCCTCAGTAAATTGTCACAAATGCCCCTCAATACTCTATAAAATCACATTTCCATGGGTCTCAATGTCAAAATGTTTYAGGGGAAATTGCCCCTGAAGCTCCCTTAAAGTTCCTTATCTGCTTATTTACCTCAGTAAACATTTTGGTCTGGCTATGGCACAGATATTAGACTATTATCATGAAGGGCTGGTGAGGCAAGGYGTGAATATGTTGGATACAGAAATTTCTCAATCATTTTTTGATTTGATATTTTCCTCTGTTTTTTTCTCTATAGAGAGTTTGAAAATCTCAACAATGATTTAGATATTGGRATCAAAACCGGAAAAGGGCTTAGAGCTCCCAAACTATCTGTCAAGGAAATTGTACCTCCTGCAAAAGGTAGGTGTAGTAATGGGAGGGAAGCTAAATATTGGAATAAAAGTGTGATCACAGTTGCTATATTATCACCCATCTCATTTATTCATTCTTCAATCTTTCCTATCTCTCCTACYTGAGTGGATAGATAGTTTTAACTTCTGACTGTTACTCTTGACAGCTCCATCACCAGTAAGCAAGGATGTCAAACTMTTAAGTTCCAAGGTTTTAGCAGAGGAGAAATCACGCTCCCTTACAAAACCTGTAAGTACCTTGTTACCCTCTTCGTAACCTTGTGCACTATTTCAAGCGTCTAGGAGCTGGTTAAAAAAATAATTTTGGATATTCCCCCTCACCMCTACTAATTCAARGCCAGTATACCTTCRCAGATTTACAGAAATGATTCTCTARYCTTTTATGTGCAAAACKGTGTAAGATACTAATGRCAGTGTTTTGTTWTTGGGTGTAYATCAGATCAGTGATGGTTTGAATGCTGTTCCAATGACTGATAAAGAGAAATCAGATTGCTCTAAAAGACT